CCTTTGAAACTTGTTTCTAGCTCCATTTCTCTCTCAATAATGTTTGTCCTATTCCATGGCATTTCTAAGTCAGCATTTCTTATCTCAAGTTTTACATACAGGTGCATACTATGTGAGCCTTCTGTCAAGCTTTGAGAATTTTCTACAAATCCATTTCCCACACAGTTCCACAGGAATGGCCTGCTCCCCATTTCATTCAAAGAAAGTTAACCAAACCAGGCTTCATGCTGAAATCCCAGCAAAGTGAGCTCACTGTGAAAACAAGTGGATGGTGTTATCCCCCAAACAGGAGAGATAGCTGCAACCTTCTGAAACTCCAAACTTTTGTTTATTGTTGTAGCTATTGTATGACATAAGTACACATAAACAATCCTAATAAAAATGCCTAATAAAATGGCATTTAAAAGTGTTTTCCATTAAGTTTTTGAGAGGCAATGCACTATAGTGACGCAGACAGAAGTACCGAGATATGAACACAGAATTTGGCCAATATTCCTCAAACAACATTGTTACTTACTCATTCACCACCGGTACTGTCCATATCACTCCATTTCTACTTTGCTTTTCCTTCCCTTAAGGAAGTAAGCCCTAATTTTTTTCTGTGCATGTTTATGCCCTCCAACACAAACTCCCACACTTTCTGATCATGACAGCTGCTGGTGATTTAACATACAAATGGCAGCCAGAAATGAGCAGGCCAAAGGGTGTCATTTTTTATGCTATTTTATCTTTGATTCTGCCCATTCTCAGGGCAATAAAGAGAAAGATAGTACTGATATAATTCAGGGTGATAAGCAGATCCTTCTGACTTGAACAGGCTTCTTGTGATCTTCCATATTATTTAAGGGTTCAAAGCCTACTATGGTTTTGATCTTTTAAGAAAGACATTTTCTCCCAATTTAGCTCCTGTGTGTTGAAAAAGTTCAGGGGAATACAACAGGGTGTTAAAATACAAGATCAGTCCAGAGAGATATTCTCACCAGCATCAAGACAGAACAGTGTCTGTTGCTTTCCTCTTTCTTCTTTGAAAGCCCCAAGGGAACACAAATCCTGGGAATTGGATGGGAGAAAAAAGAGATCTTTACTTCTAATAATACAATCTGGAATAATATAATCTAATGTAGTCTGGATGGCTGATGACAAATTGATAAACTTCTAGTATAATCAGCCTATCTCAAGAATGCAGAGTGATGCATTCAGACACCTTCGTATATTAGCTCATTTCTTCTTCCATAAGTTGTGAGGTCTGTGCTGTGCCTTTGAGAGGAACAGCCCCATACCTCACTTTTTAATTCAGTTCGCATTCATTGATTGGTCATTTTTGTTCATTCAACTATAAAGTTGTAGTTCTAAGTAGACATTTGGTATTTTGATTAATGTGTCAGTTTGCCCTCTTTACAATGGACCTGTCAGGGCAGGATGTTGACCTCTAGTGGGATAAGAATCTACATTTATGATCCTTGGTTTATTTAGATGAAATTGGAATTGAAGTAGGATTTTGCCTGCATGCCAACAAGCGCACAAAATTCTTTAAATGAAATTCTTTTCATATGTCTTTCGTTATCTTACTTGGTCAAAGTACTTGGTCAGGCCAATTTAAATGTCTCAGAAGGGGACGAAATTGGAGAAAGAGGAAGACAGTTCTGTTATATGTCTGCAAGATTTTGCTTTGGAAGAGCAAGGCAGGACCAAAGTGAAGACCTCAATAATAGTGACAACATATGAACAGGAAACATTCTTGTTTGATTTATTTGAAACAACTGGTATTTTGCAATCTAAATACCTTAGTATTTCACAATAAGATAATATCAAGGAAATAAACTTGTCAAAACAAAGCTGGATCTCAAAATGAAATATTCTTTTCCACCAAATTTGGAATCTCCCTTTCACAATGGAGGCATAGATCCTGCTTTATTACAGTCTCTAGCAACAGGTTAGGCCAACCTGTATTGGCAATGGCTTTCAAAGTGCTGACCCTGCTGCAAGGAAAGAGAATTGGGAGCAATGACTGCCTTATGTCAGGGTGCTTAGAGGATTCTGAGTCAAGGTCAGGCTTGGGGCCTCCCCAAGGGTGGCAGGACAAGGTCTATCCCACTCTCCCAAGCAGAGACCAGGTAAAGACAGCCCCAACCCTGGGCACTGAGCACCTCCCTGGGTACAGGACTGGGCCAAGGAAGGGCTGAAACACTGACCCATGGTAGAGGTCAGCATCAGGCCTGGTGATGGGAACCAGGGTGAAAGGCAGCGTTGGGAAGTCTGAGGCCATGAGTGTAGTCCATGGGAATCTGAGGGGTGGGCAAATCCTCTTTTTCTACCAGTAGTTTTGTAAGCCACATTCTTACTTTATGTTTTGTCTGTGCCTTTGCAGTTTATGATGCTGGTGTACAGGTTCCCTTTCCAGGGAAACCACTCAGCTGGTATGGTATTTTTGTTGTCATCAACAAGATGACTCAGGACAGACCTTGCAAAATATTTACTCAGTTGCCCAGAATCTCTGAACTTTTCAACATTTGCCAAATAAATACCAGGTAAGTCCCTCCCAGCACTGCATTCCCTTAGTGTAGAATTTTTAGACTGCCCTTGCCACTGCTATGTCCAAATATTTTCTGGTAAGACATTCATCTACATGACCAGCATTTCAGGGGTGGTTTATTCTTGATCCCTCCCTTTGAAAGAAGAGAAAGCTCTCTGTTATACTCCTACTGCCACTCTCTGTGTCATCTACAAAGAGCTACTGAGCAAAACCTTTTGCACAGTATCAAACACTCACCGGAGAGCAAGTGAGTCTGTATTTAATCACTGGTAAGCCATGGGAGGTGGCAAGTGTGCCTAGTACCTGAAGCAAGAGATGTTTAAATGCTCTTGCAGACTGCAACAGTAGAAAAGGAGATAATCCTCAAACTTGCTGTTTAGAAATTCTTCTAGGCTGGGTGTGGATGCAGAAATTACATGAGGTGGAAAGAACTGAATACAGACTTCTCACATCCTGGTAATATATTCCAGAAGTCATACCATCTGCCCAGGAAATCTTAGGTATCTAGTCTTTAGCATCTTAACAAACATCTTAACAAAAACAGGATTCTATTTTTAGGTGTTTGCAGAAAAAAAGTATTGAGCAGAAAACTACCAGACAAAGAAATGGTGTCAGAGGCCCTTTTTATGCCATATGATCATAGTATTTGCTCATAATCTTGGCTGCTGAGGACAAATGCTTCTTTAATATGATGGGCTCTAAACCAAATTTCCTTTTCCCAACCCTCCCTAATCATCAAATCCAAAAGGATTTAGGCTCTGAGTGGAAAGATGAAGAGCTCTTCATTTTTCTCTTTGAAGCTGTCCCATTCTGAAAAGAATAATTATATATTCTTTTGACAGAGAGACCAAGGGCACCAAATTGCATGTTGCTCTCTAGACTGCTAGTTAGCTCATTAACCTGGATGTGGGGAGAGCTCAGTATGGTGGCACCCATGTGATTTTGCATTATTTTCTTGCATAATGATTGTTGTGGTGTTTTTTTCTCTTATTATTTTGATTTAGGAACTAGGTTCTGTTCCCACCTCTGCAGTATGAAGTTTCTCAGTTATGCCTCAGGAAAATAAGGATAGTGATGCAGGCATCTGTCATAACACTGGACTATATTTTGGTTGCTAATAAAGGATATAAAAGCACACAGAACAGCAGCCAATAAATCTATCTTTAAAAATATATCTTAAAATCTATCAATAAAAATATCCATCTATACATCTTTAAAATAATTTTTTTTTCAATTTCCGTATATTTTCCAGTGCTGACAGTTATATTTGGGATGAAAGGATAAGGTATTTTGAGGTTTGTTTTTTTTTGCCCTGGAACTTTAGTTCTGTGAATACTAGCAACAAGGTCAGTAAAGCAGTAGATTTAAATCTGTGAATGAAGAATTAAACACCTAAAACATTTGCATGCAAATAGTGGTTTCCAGTTGACTCCAGACAGAAAGGAAACAGGAAAGCAATTTCCCCAGTCCAGTGAATCAAAGTGCAGACTTTAAATATTTTCTGTTACTGCATTTCATGTCCTTCTTGAGCAGTGGTAGGTCTGGAAATTATTTATATAAAAAAGAAAAACAGTAAGCTACTTGATTTTGCCTCAGTCTTTTCCTAACTAAGGGGTACTTCTTAGATCAGATTTACTAAACAGAACAAAATTGTATTTGTTTAATAATAAAATTAAATTAATTCCCTGTGTTGTAACACAGGAAGTGACAACAGGAATCAAAGCAGCAAAATTACCTGGGAGCCTTAATTACAGTTTCTATATGATAAGGGCTGCTTGAACTCCATCTGTAATTATAAAGGAAAAATTAAATTAGACTGGTAAGTCTATTACTTAATTATTCCCAATGACAGGGAGCTGTCAAAAATAGCTGACATAAATGGTCAAAAACACAGTGAAATATCATCCTTTAAAAAGTTTTATTGGAAGAAGAATATATAATAATACATTTGGAAGTAAGTCTGTAAATTCTTAAATTTTCATAACAAGATGAGGAATGTTCCAGAATGTTCCTGTCTGCAAGAAAGTGATGGATGCCAGGATTGCTCCTTCCCATCCCCTGGAAACAGGTGTAAGAAAAATATGATACCTCCCATATATAACTCAATCATTTTATTTCAATTTAGCTGTGATCGATCTAATGTAAATGTGTACCTGGAGTGCCAAGAAAGAGACTGAGAATTATTTTTTGTTCTGGGGGTTTTGTTGCTTGTTTGTTTAATTTTCAACAGATCATTTCAGGCAGCTCAGTGAGGTTTAATTATGTTATTACAAGGTATATTGCATTTTCCCCCTAGATTATATTAATTACCTATCTTTAACTTCCAGCACAGTCTCTCTTTTCTTTCTTTGTTGACAGCCAGAATATAAATCAAACAGAGACACTCTCAAATACTGAATGGCTGTGAGCAATAAGGGCATCATTTAGCCTCATCTTCAGGGGGCTGAGAATGAGAATATTTGCTTGCATTCTTCTTATTTTTTTTTTTTTAATATAGCACAAGCCACAACAAATATATTGCTCTCATGCTGAAATCCTTCTCCTTTCGTGATATTTATGTTCCTGAACAAAACACTATTTAAGTATCAATTAATGCTGTCTGTGAGACTAGGAAGACCAGAGAATATTCTTTCTCTCCTTTTTTTTTTCTCCCACATAAGAACAGTGCCACACCACTGCTTTTCCACCAGCATCCCATAACGTTTCAGTCGTAAATTATTCTGCTACCTGGTTAGAAAAGCTGTAGTGATAGGCATGGAATTACTAGGCAATTTTGACATCAGGCTTCATCTAGGTCTTTTTTCCAGATTATTCTCAACAAATGAGAATACTCTCCCTCCACTGAGGTGAACATGCAAACCATTCAGAGGGCTGCTTTTACACTCCAAGTATGTTAGACCAGCAAAAAAACATCTTTAAGCCAAGTCTGAAAGGAGATAATGTACTTAGGATCTGTTATCTTCCAGAGGAAAACCTTCTGAAACATCCGTGAGGTTGAGGTTGATATTTTCTTTGTTTGTTTTGCGTACATTTTCAACCAACAACTAGGTCAGTGTAAGAATACTCTGTTCCAATGAATTGTTAGTTTTCTGAACTTCTGCATGACAAAAACATGAATCTGTCTTTTCAGCCTTGCATTTCTGTCTTTACCTTAATAGAATACCTAAACATTTATATCACTTAGCATCTTGTGTTATTTTGCTTTGAGATAAAATTATCAGAAATGTCTGTTTCACACTGACACATAGCCATGTCCAAAGTTTCAAATTTCCAAACTGGATTGTGCAGCTTTTTTAAAAGCAAAGCCAGTGAAGTTTCCCTTTTTCTGGTGTCAAATAATTTTATTGCAGGCTGCTCTTGCTTAAAAAATGCATAAAGAAAGAAATGAAAACTTCCTTTTGCTCTCCATATCACTGCAACTTGGGCCACTGCCTTTAATGGAATTAGGCTCTGATGCATATAAAATACAGCTCAGTTTTTCAACCTCAATGTTTGGATCCAAGACTTCTAAAACTTAAGGTTGGTTTGGTTACATTCACTTTATCACGTAGTGGTAAGACTTTGTCATAAAATACATTGCTCTCCAGGGTTAGTGCAAATCAAAGATGAATTACCCAAAATATGCTTTTAAAAGCATATGCTTCTTAAAGTTGAGCATCAGATGAACTTTAATCTTTGAAGCGTATGTATTTGAAAGCATTCTCTTTTTTTAAATGTTTGACTTCACTTTTTTTTCCATATTGTATGATATAGATCAGTATTTCAGTATATATTCACCTATTTGTCTGTGTTTCTCTTCCACAGGAATGGTAAACATCATATGAATCCTGCTTGCAATTTTTGATATCTTCTGCTTGCCTAAAGTGGTTACCATCCAGAGAACACTTTAATCAGTGCTGACACAGTGAACAAGAAAGCTTCAGCACAGCATCTTTCATCTTGACTCAGCAAGATTTCCAGCAGTTGCATTTATACAGTTTTTTGACAGGATGCTTCCTAAGTGAAGCGTTTGCCTTCTGGAGAGCTACACCCACAGAGATTTCATTTTTCTTGATGTCTGTCAATATCATGAACTTTATTAACAAATTCAAATCCAAAAACAATTTCAGTTCAAGAAATCTGTCCAAGTTAGTTCTTGCTTATTTCTTACATATGAGGATATCTACAAAAACACAGATGCTCAACAATGGATTGTAATGGCTGTGTATATTTGTTTATATATATGTATCCATTTCTAAGAGACAAAATAAAATGAAGGAGCTCTTTAAGAAGAATTTGATCTATGATTGTAGGGATCAGTGCAAAGGATTTGACTCACAGTTTCAGAATTTGTCATAGCACAATATTATAATAAAGTCCTACTGGCTGTCTTTTACATTACTGCAAACAGAATAGAAACAACTTTCTACCCTTTATAGACATCTGATGCCGATTTTTTGCAATCAAATTGCAATAACTAAATGCATATCAAAGATGTTTATTTTGGCCCCTACACCTTTGTATAGGTTTTAATTCACAAGTCCAAATGTCATAAAACTCGAGACTAGAACATGGAACAGTGGCAGGTTACGATCAGCTTTCTCCAGGTAAGACATACAAATATTTAACAGCCTTGCAAAATTGCAATTGCAGTTTATCAGCCTAGGAAGACTATCTATTTATCCACCCTTTACCCTGAGGAATGATATTACTTTAAGAAAGAACGAAAAAACAAAAACCTTCTAGGTAATATTTTGGAAGTTAAAAAAAAAAAAAAAGACGTGTGCTTGATTGTGGGTATAACACATGAAGGAGGGGCTGAATTTAATTCTTGAATGCAAAACTCCATTCTGCACTAAGGAACAAGTCTAGTTTCATAGTACCCTAACATGTGTTTCTACCCTTTTGTTCACATTTACTGATAGGAGCTGTAAGAAAAAAATCCCATGGCAACCTTCCGGAATTTTAACTATGGTTACACACACACACACACACATCTCCCCCACAACTATTTAGAGGCTATAATGCAGGAATCTTTACAAATTGTATTTATCTGTGTATTTTCATTTCACCTAATTTTGCAACAACACTAATGAAAAATTACTACACTTTGTTCCATTAATTTGAGAATATGTTCATGGAAATACCTTCCCTCAATAGGCCTGTTAGCAAAAACTTGCTTTAAAAAATTGGAATTCTATTTCAAGTAGTGAAATGTTTTAGTATTTCTAAGTTTTGGAAGAAACTAAAGTCTGATTTTGAAGAATATTAATAGGCAAGTTGCTTAAAAATCTATTGCTACATATCTAAATCAGGAATTAAAAAAAAAAAAGAAAAAGTTTCACAGACCTGATTCCATATTGTTATCTTTTATAAGACCCTGTCTTCTCTGCTTGAATTCTAATTTACTCCAAAGACAGTTATTCTCACAGGCAGCTTGTTCTATTATGCTCATAAATGGTAAATTGAAACATTAAATATTGCTTCAAATAACTAATTGAAGGATAGAACATTCTTACCCTACAACTGTGCACAGATTAACTCTTCCAAAGCTCAGCATGCCCCATTAGGAACATTACAGAACAACAGCACTGAGAGCCTCCTCTGTGCTTTTTCTCTGAGGCAAGTTTAAGTACACTTATATCATCCCTTACAGGTGTTTTTTTGCACTGCCCTTGAAAACCTACAATGACGGAGATTCCAAAACCTTCCTCATCTCAGATTTATGGGCATCAATCTTTCCCCTTAGTATCCAACCTAAATATTTCCTGATTACTTTCAGTTCACAGTTGGGTCCAACATGCAGATGAGAGTCCTTCAGTATTTGCATCACTCGTGCTCAGAGGAAGAGGCACACACACTGAGAGAGGTGTGAAGGCATTTACAGACCTGTCCCTGCAGCCAGCAGTGTGATGGAATACTTGGGAGGTGCTGAACAAGGCAATTTCAAAAGGAGGTGGCCAGCTGCCCACTAAAACAGAAACAGGACAAATTGAGCCTCTGCACTGCCCAGTTTGCCCTTCCCTTGGGACAGCAGCTGTGTACTGGGTTTTAATGTGTCCCAAGGCTTGTGACAGCAAATATTAGTGCGCCAAAACTCACAGTGAGCAAGGGAAATCAGCAGAAGCTACAGCTTCATCTCGAGAGCTCAGGATGTAATACTTCAGTTCTTCCTTTTCCTTGACACTTCTGCATCCTACTATGATTCCTTCTAGGACTCTCCCAGTGAACTCAGAAGGATTTCTGAGTATATATGGACCAATGCCAATGGTATTTAACATTAAATAAGAATAAAAAATATATTAAATCTGTATGTATATCATACTTGATGGAAAGAGTTCAGTTTTGGAAATTAATGACAGGACATGATATGGTTAATTATTTTTTTAGAAAAAAAATGGCATGCAAAATGTGAAGAGAGTTTCATTAAATAGAAACACTTTGGCTGTCCATGAAATAGAAAGTAAAACAATTTCCTTTTCCTCCCAAAGACCAAAAGACAACCATAAATTACAATATATGTCTGTATTAAAAACTTAGAAACAGGTTTCAGAATGGCAAGGACTTTCTTGCTTTAAAAGCCGAAACAAGAATCTAGCAATCTCCTTTAAATGAAATATTTTTCACAAATTCCATTGTTTTTCTTCATAAAATAAATGAAGCCTGTAGGCAACTAAACTAAAATGTCTGCTACCTAGAGCAGGAGGTAGCAGGAGGAACATTTCACTGCTGTATTTGCTCAAATCAATAGCTATTAAAGTTGTTTGGGGGATTTTTGAATTAGGTTTTGTATAACACACATTTTTAAAAGGATCTCATGAAACAATTTGTCGTTATACAAACGTGCTCGATGTGCACATTAAAGTATGAGTATATTATTTTGTTTGGAATATTAACAACAGCAGGGCCCAGTCCACTAGTTGTACAAAGAACTCGTGGAATTTGATCAGGAATGTTGAATTCCCTGTGTATATTTGGATTCACAGCAAGATGGTTTTCATGCAGGTGATTTATATACTCCTATGTAACAAAAACTGCAATTACAGAGAACAAAAAAAAAAAAAAAACCAGAACCAACAAACAAAAATAAGAAACTCAAATTCTATTATGACATGGCAGTAACCTCTCACATATTCATCCCATGGCAGCATTGGTAGGGATAAGAGAATTCCTATATAATGGCATGATCCAAATCCCACTGCAATAAATAAAACATTTTCTCTTGTTTTACTTAATATTGAATCATCAGTAAGAATTGGTTTGAATTTGGCTAGGCATTGGCTGACAACAAGGTGTGCTCTAATTTGCTTTCATTATTTGATGTATTAAGGTACAGTGAGGGAAAAAAATCACAGTACAAAAAAAAAAAAAAAGAAAAAATTTTACTAGATTTTTACATTTAGTAAATGGTACTTAAACTCCATGGACATGAAAGCAGTTTTAAACTTTACCTTTGAAATTTTACTTTTTTTCAATATTTCATAGAAAAGAAACGCTCTAAGATACTGTTTCAGACCACAGAATTATTACAGAACATAAAGTTTATATGCAAGGGCTTAATCCTTTTCCCAACAAAAATGGTGGCCAACACCATTTTAACTCCCATGGGACAGGGGTCAGCTGAGAATGTGCCATGTTCCTAATTGGAAATCTCCTTTGTGATAAAAGAGCCTGGCATATACTTTGCCTTTGTAATTTGAATTCTATCAACAACTATTCCTAGCCACAAGAGAAATATTTTTAGGCAATATATTTGTATAGTTTCACAAAACTATGTTAAAGAGAGATGTATGGGTGTTTTTGTGTGTGTGTGTATGTATTTATGTATGTATGTATACATATTTATGAGCTTGGGATGATTTTCTTAAAATACTTAACTTCACTTACATTATATCTTACATTGCAAAATGTACAGACACCCAGTGTTCTTTTTAACAACATATACAGGTGAATTTATAGAGCCTTATAAAAGATTTTGTGATTCCAAATTAAAAACCATAGAAACATAATCAAAATAATGGAGAGTGGTTTATACCTCTGATAGTACATAGCGCTCATTCGGGTAATATTGACAGCTGCATCTTTGGCATTGAAAATTCCTTACAACTTTTTAGACAAAATGTTGTTGCTTACAGCTTTTTTTTTTTTTTTTAACAACAAAAACAGGATCGACCAAAATACGAATTTTGGGGAAGTACTATTAAAGGTTTATTTTATTTTTGTTTTTAGCAAGGATAGCTTAGGAACCCTGAATTATCTTCTAGCTTCAGTGTATGGTGTAGACTGTATGAATCCATTTAAAAATCAACTAAGTTGTACCACGTTTTTCGGAAAATTATATATAATATAATATATATATATTTTATATTTATTTAGAAGCTTTGAAATAGTACAGTAAACACTTTGCAACACGGTGTATAAACTACAGAAATGTCTTCGATAATTTTGTGGGTCTTCAGATTAACAACATTTTTATGACCCACAGGTGAAAAGAACATGATCACAATCTCTCTTGTAAAGTTGGAATAGTTTGGGGAACACTTGATCACACAAAAATAATATAAAACAGTCAAGTTTAAAACAGTGATATTGCATTTATAATGCACATCTCGTTTATCTGTACGATTGGCTTTTTGTGGTGAATATAAACATCTAAAGGGCTCAGTGACATTTTGGAGAGAGAAAGATATATAGTGCTGTAAACAGGCACACACTGATCAGAGAGGCAAGATCAGTTGCCTCTGAAGTTTCTACAGTTCTACACATTTCAACTCATTTCTCAGGCCTGCTGAGAGCAATTAGGTCCTATTGTTGGCCAGGATGTCTCCAACAGCACACAAATCCTTCAGTTACACAGAACTGGATGGCCAAGATAATGAAGTTGAAAGCTGATGCTTTTTGTTGGTCGACTTTCTTTTGTGCAAATCATGCTGCTTCAGGTAAGTCCTGTAGAAGTGACTAGCATATCCTTTTCCGTGCTGCAGGAAAGAAAGAAAGACACTTCTGAGAGGAACAAAAATTAAAAATCAGTCTCCAACAGTTCTTAGGTTTAGGGTTTCTTAAGGTGTAGAGAAACAATTAAAACTTGTCACAAACTGACACTGGAAATTCCCATTATAGCAAACAGTTTAATGTTGATTCATTTTTCAGAAAAAGCCTCTTTTTGAGGCTTGATAGCCTGAATACTAAATTTCATAGGCTGTTTTATTATTCTGTCTAACTTGTCATGGCAAATATTCCAATGTGCCTGTACAGAATCAGTATAAGGATAAGGCAAATATTCAGACTTACAGGTGAAGTATTACCCAAATGTCACAGGCTAATTTTTCCCTAGTTCAGCTTGTTATTTGAAGCAAGATCTAGAATTCCCCCTAAAATTTAGAAGCTAGTTTTTCTTCTTTCAAAGTGAACCATTATCCTCATCACTAAATGACCCTTCAGTCTGGTTTGACAGATGAAAAAATGGTGCATTAGTGCTACAATTCAAATTTCAGCATTTACTGTCAGGCTGAAAATTAACTCATGTTACACAGATGAAGAAGGTCAATGCATTAGCAAAGCCATATCCTAATCCACCAGCTGCAGTAGCTGTATTACCTCAAGACACTGGCTAATTTAACTGTAATTGGGAGCAAAAGTAACAAATGATTTGTACCAGCATTTAGGAAGACCCTAAGTTAAATTCTGATCTCAGTCACACACTAAACCAAAGAACTAACTCACTTGTTCAAGTATTATAATTAGCATTAGCACCATTCTTACCTGATAAAACTCATAGTGATAAAATCAGGTGTTACCTTAGCTCCAAATCAACTAAATCCCTACCTGAAATTCAGTCTGCTTCTCTGTGTGAAGTTTTACAGCTGAAACAAAAAGGAATCTTAACTTTCAAATGAATTTTGAATCATGTACAGGTTGATGCTTGCGTGGTGACACATAAACACATCCAGTCTCCGTTCCATTTAACATAAATATATACATTAGCCATACTTATTTCCTAGATATATATTCACCAGTAAAGGCATGAAATCTGGGTACTGTACCACAGGGAAGTTAGATTATTTACAGGAAAATGTTACTGTGGGTGTTGGATGTTTGTCTAATCTAGCCTGCCTATGCTACAGGGTGCACACAGAAAAATGTGAAAAACATTTCTGCATAAGCTATCTGTTCAACATACAGAAAATTGCCAGATGTGTTGTTAAAAATAAAACATCTAATAGATGAGGTATTCAATGTTTCAGTTCTGTAGCAAATTAGTAGCAGAATTAGAAGGAATTTTTAAAAGCTTCTGCAAGATGTTTTTTAAACAATGCTTTTAAGAATAATGAGATCAGAACCTTCATGATGCAGTGAATGATCAGATTAATCCAGTATCGAGATATCTTTTAAAGTATCTTTTTTAATATTACAAGAAACAATCATTCCAATAGTAGTAGTAAAAATAACAAGGCTGATATTGGATCTTTAAAACTTTTTTCCCAAAGTTCAGTCATAATTTCAATTCTCTTGTAAGTATTTAGGCATAGTTGTTTAGATTGGTGTCTGCCACCGAGGAACTCGTGCTGCACTACAGACACAGTAGGACTTTGCTGGAAGAAAGATAAACAGAGATACAGGCGGGGTAAACACTGCTTTTATGCAGCACCACTGCACCACTCCTGTCTGACACAGTGCTTTGGTGATACTGATTTGGCACCATCTTCCAGATAATGCAGAGACTGAGTTACTGGCTGTATCTGGCCTTTTGCCATGTAAATTGATGCATTTTGAATTTTTTAATCTCCAGTTAACATGCTTATATTACAAAACAATCAAGCCCTTTTACAGCAATAACTAAATATTATGCATTAAAGTTGCAGAACTACTGCAACTCTCCCCACCTACAAAAATTTTGGTACTAAATCTTAAAATATCCTCTGCCAACACATAAAAAGCATTGGATTTTAAAGGCAAGGATTTTTGTGCTCTGTGTTTGTTTGGCTTTTTTTCTGGTTCTACAGAGAAATTTATGTGCAATCAAATCTCTCCATGTCTATACCAGTTTCCGTCTTTTTACAGATGGGGAATATAAATCAGAGAGGTTAAATGGAAAGGAGGATGGACTCAACTTAAAAAAGAGAGCAATGAAAGTTCTGACAGCTGTTTCCAGTTCTGTGTGTGTGCATGCATGTGTTCATAAATAAACTTTTAAATAACAAACACTAAGCCTCTCTGTATCACAATTTCTCCATCTGTAAAATGGGAATAATATTGCTTACCTATCTCCTAGAGGTGCAGGAAGGTTTAAATCACTATTCTTTATAATCCACTTTGAGATCCAGAGATGGCAAGTGCTATAGAAATGGAAGTATCACAGTCAGTGAAAGAGCTGGAACAAGACCACCATAATTTCTGGTGCCTAATATCTCCTCTGAGATCACAGCTCTCGCTTTCATCCCTGTTTTATCACCTGTTCTGAACTCTCAAACTAGTACACAGGGAACTTTCAAGTCTGTGTGAGTATGGGCAGTCAGAAAAAAAGGCTTTAATCACAAGCAGTTCCATAATTTTGATAATGTAATTATACTAATTGTACATATATTCCAATATTATTTGAAGTGAGCAAGATGATTAAAGATTCACAAGCATTACAATTAAAATTCTTAGGATACAGGATTTGTGCTGTATCGATCCTTCCCGGAACAACAAAGATTTTGAGCATTACAGTAAGAGTATTTAATGCATACAATTTATATGGGATAAAAAAAAAAAAAAAAAATCTGGCAAAAAATATATTAAGATTCATTTGTTGCTCAATACACCCTAATAAGCCTCCCATCCACAGTGAGCTAATTCTGTGTAGACTGATAAGAGAAGACATGTAAAGACATTAGTAGTAGTTAAACAGAAAAAAAAAATTAAAATTCTAACATAATAAACAGAAAAGAAAAAGTAAAGTATGAAGTAATTATTCCTAGCTCATGGATCAGAAATGAACAGAAAATACTGTAAAGCCCTTGTCTCTAATAAATCTTCCTTTCATCCAGTTGCAAATCATCCCGTTGCATCCAAACTTGATGTTGGATTACTACGTTATAACTGTGAGTACAGGCAGGAGCATTTCCTCTTACAGAAAAGCCTAGAAGGGATTGCCTGTGCTTGGAACACCTTCAAACTCTCCAAATCAAATTTTTCTTGTGCTTAGCAGTGGTAGCTAATCTAAAGTGGACAGAGAAAGGGCTCAGTGCTTCCCTCCACAGCTGGCAACCCAAGCAGTGAAAGAAAACCCATAATATAAACCCATCCTATACCTTTTATAATTATTGTCACTTTCCCTCTGGACTATATTTAAGGGCTCCATAAGCTCCCACTGCGTTACTTCTGCTCTGAACAGAACAACTGCTGAGTCCCACTAGAAGTGCCAACAGCCTAAAGATCCAAAGGAACTGCTAGACGATAAAATTTCCAAAGAATATAAAATACCAGGCATGCTGCTGCTGTTGCAGATATACTCCTGATCCCCCTCCACTTAGGAGAAAGATGACATAAAGCCCTTTCTTTTAAATCAAAAAACCTCTGCAACAGCAGAACAAGGGTAAAGCCACTATGTAAACTCTTATCTTGTTTCAGATCTGCATTCCTTAAGCTCAGACAATATCCAAGCAATATTTGCCTTCCCACAGGCTTTCACATAGAGGTTCTTTTGCAAGCACACAACTCACTGTCTTCTCTTGTGGGTCCCCTGTACAAATGGAGTCCTCACCACGCCACCCAGATCAAGCCTTCCCCACAGAGCACAGCAAATGATGAAGGAACACAGGATGCTGTAACTTCCTGCATTTCATTCAGAAACAGCCCAGCTATTCTGGCTTCACTTGCAGTGAGCAATCATTTTAAAAAGGAGTTAATTACCTCATAGACATTACAGGAAGGTTGGTTTTAAATCTGCATTGTTAGTTTTAACTGTCCTTTATATTTTGATGGTTTGCCTTACAGTCTACATGTTAACTGTAGCATATGAAACATGGCTCTTCACTAAGTCCATGAGCTTCACCAGAGCCAGAAAATGATAATTCTGGTGACCAACCAACCAGACTGCAACTTGCACTCGTGCCCTAAATCCACCCAAGCAAACAGAGACCAAGATCTATAAAGTGGTAGAATGCATTCTGTCAAAAATAACCTGGCTGTTCCTGTTAGCTTGGCGTTCAGCAGCTCGCATATCAGCAAGAATGTTTTTTTGGAAAGAGGTCAACAAGTGAATGGGAATGCAGAGTAAACTGCAGAGTAAACTCCCTCACCCTTCGTAGTGGTGCATCCAGGTAAAGGGTGAGACACACGGCTGGGGCTGGGGCTGGGGGATGTAGGATGGGGATTACTCTGCTGCCACCCATGTTCTGTGGATAAAAAAGCATTCCAGTCACTGCAAGTGTCAATTCAGTATATTTTGCAATCCATAAGGTCTTTTTTTTCTTTTAAAAGTGATCTATTACTTAAAGAAGTTTGCTAAAGCATTGATAAAAATCTTTTATGAATATTCCATTAATGGCATTATAAAAAGAGAGTGTCTGATCCAGGCCAATAATCTTTGGTACACAAATATAAAAATAGCATTTTACTCATATATCTTTTCCTCATGAATTAGTTTAAGGGGAATGTTTTTCCTTTTCTTTCAAGGCTTTAGTGCAGAAATTTTGTTCTTCAAATCTATATATTCTGTAGAGAACTCTTAGATAAAACATCTTGCATTCCAGATGCCCATGTTTAATTTTACACAATTAATGTGGGTTTTTAACCCTGCATTATATCAAACAGTTTGGGAGGAAAAAAAAGGAAAAAAAAAAAGAAGGAAGATAGAACATACTTACTTTTGCATTTGAAAATACAGATAAATAATTAAAAAAGACCAAATCTCCCCTAATGTCAATGAGTCTGCTGGCTTTGGTGATCACTGTCTGTGTGCTTTAGGAGTGTGTCTGAAGGGTCCTGAAGGCCACTAAAGGTGTTAGGTGACAATGAGACCACGTTCTGCCTGTCCAATTCTGGCATGACACAAGACAGGCAAGGCAGGAGAAGCTCCTGCATGTGAACCTGTCAGCTGCCCCAGGGTAGAATTTCCCCCTAACAAAAATATGGCATTCAGTATGGCTGAAATGTTCCTTCTGGCATCTGCAAAATCCAAGATATAAATATTGTTTCTAAAATAAACCGACAGCATTTGGACTGATGGGTACAATTACCCAGATTTCATGTGAAACAAGAAAACCAATTGTGAGCACCGGGTCTTCAGGCTGTGAATAAATTAGAGTAGGCCAAAATGCAAAAGTTTTTATTGCTGCACTGAAAGTTTTCTAGAAACAAGCTTGATTTTAGCTAAATAAATGATCTCCACAGGCCATTAAAATCTTTCCTTCATTCGAGAGTGTATCTTTACTTCTGCAACAAATATGATTATGCAAAGAAACCCCAGTATTTTGTTTAAAGAAAACTGTGTAACCATGTATATTGTGCTTTTCTTTCTCCTTTCATTGAGTGCATACTTTTCTACGTCTATATACATTTAAATCTGTTCAAGAAAGAAGAATTCTCAACCATGCCAGACTGACAGTGCTGGATACTGCACTGACCACAATGCATTAAACCTGACAAGCAGTGTTACAAACTCTGGGGAAAGGGGGAGAGAGGTTTGTCCTTTGCACTTAAGAACAAAACTGCCGCTTTTCAAATTTGAGCATCATGTTCTAGACCAACAACAGATTACCATTATTTTTAGAAAAACATATTTGACCAAATTGCTGATTTACACATATTTACACTTCTTTTAGCTTTGAGAAAATACATACTTAAAGGGTATTTAGGTATTTTCAATATTTGGAACATGCAACTATTTTGTTATGGCAAGTGAGATGCCTGGTACAAATGCTGACACAACATGACAGCCACTGACATAATGTTTATCTGGTGCTTATGAGTGCTCTGAGATTTATTTGCTACCTGGAATTTGCTAATCCTCTGGAAAAGAAAAAAAAAGGAGGGGAAAAAAAGAAAAAAAAAGAAAAAAAAGAAAAAAAAAAAAAGGCTTTTCAGTTCTTAAGGACAACTACCCAATTCCCAGTTCATGTAAGCAGTGACTTTAATCAACATGTGCTTTACATCAAGCACATGACTAAGAGGGATTGACTTTTGAATCAAGCCCTGGATTTTGTCATCAATGTTCTGTTGCACACAAGATACTTTCATGTGCATTTGCTTTTCTGTTCTAAATGCAGAGAATTTTTCTTTTCCACCCCCAGCAACATCCAGCAGCATTGTAGATGTCAGATTTGATTTATCTCTGGTTCTGATTATTTACTACCGAAACAATGCTTTTTAGTTACTACAACTCAGCAGACAAAAGTACTAAGCTGTATTCTATAATGTACCATAAAAACACAAAAGACCATTTTTCCCACAAGATACAGTGGGAGTAAAGCTTCTTTGTCTTTCTGTGCTATTATAACCACATTATCTACCTGAAGACACTAAAGATAATACATGACATCACCATTAAAGTCAAAGAATCATGGAATATTGAAATTTGCAAGAGTTCTCATAATTATGTACTACGTTAAGGTCTATTAAATAACCCCCAAATTACTCCTGATGTATGTCAAACTTACAGCACAGAGCATATTCTCCAAGAATACTTCCAAATTCTCTGTCAACAACTTATTCTAATTGCATACATGTTGTAGTACCAATTCACATTCTTTGTAACTCACTATAAGCTAACAATTTTGTTATGATGCTTAACAAAATTCCTATTTTATTACTTTATTATTTTTTTATAAAAATTGCTTATGTGTATGTATGCAACAGTAATTTCTTCTCCTCAAACTTTTTTTTCCCTCTGTGTGGTTTTTTATCTGTTTTTCAAAAATAACCACTTTTATTGCATTCTTACAAAGTCTGCAGTACACTTTTCTTTCAGCTGACAAGCCTGAAAATGAACATTTCAGTTTGAGGGTTAACCAATGCAGAACACATTAAAGGCCAGCTACAATGTGACTTAAAATTTTCAGAGCCCTGGGGAGAAGAGGAGGGATATGAACCATTCCTCCTAAATTGCTCATAAGTGCCTCAGTTCCCTGTAGATTCCTGGGAGAAGCAGACATGTAGATCACCATTTGGTGGCCTTCAGAGATGTCTAAATTATTCATGCAGGGTTTGGCCTGAAATAATTAAATTTACTTGTTCTTACATGAGGTAACATGCATTACATCAGCATCACACTATGAATTCCTATCCAATTTATCTTTACCATGATGTTTTTTCCAACGCTCCTCTCTCCTAGCAGGAATTAGCTGGCATTAGGACCTGACAAGTACGTTCCCACCCAATTCCTGAATGTTTTATTCTCTGTTTCTAAAGCACATTGCTTGTCATGAGCAGCACACACTCTGATTTCAGGGAGTCTTTCCCAGTTTACCAAGATAACACACTTAAGTTTATCAAAGGCTTCTCACAAGCCTTTCAAAACTTCTCTTTTTCAAAATCACATATTGGCTTGTTTCTATCCATGAATGAAGTTTGCCCGTAACCATTCTCTGTCACTTAAGACTACCAGAATGGAATGATTTATACCCACATCATTAAAATTCCTCAGCTATATCAAGCAATCTACATGGGCCACAGCATATGAAAATATTCTATCTGCTTTCATGAGTGGTCCCTGGCACCGTGTCCCAGAGTTTTTAGGGAAAAAAGCCGCTTGACACAGGCTAAAGGCAGGCCAGAGAGTGTGAGAGTACAGACCATGACCTTCCAGTGGTGGAAAGGATCCTGTTTAATTCATCAGAGTAGACATAAAGAAGCATGGAGGTACAAAGCACACAGTCCTTTATCTCAAGTGGAGCAGAAAAAAAAGTTATTACTGCATCTCATTTGTAAGGTAGAACTTCTTTAGATCTCAGTTCCTATCAATACCCACAGCTGTGTGCAGCTCTATTCCATTGTCATCTAAATTCCAATTGAGCATAGATGGATGTTAAATTAAAGCCCAAACAGTCAACTAAAAAAGTCACAAAGTGACAGAATTTTACTCTGACAAAAGATGAATTCACACTATCAGCATCTATAAAATCCCTTATGAATAAAGAAAGGTTGCATTCAAGCAGTTTCATAATGGATCTTTTTCCAGGGCTGAATGCAGCTGTGATGCTGAAGGTGAAAAAGATAAAGTCAGAAGACTCAGCTCACTTACTAAACCAGGAGTCTGTCACCCCTGTACTTCTTTGGGGGATCTTCTCTGCATCCTTTATTTTCCCTTTCTAAGCCACATTACTTCTCATTACTTCTGATGACCTGTAAAAATGTTATATAGAATAACACCCTTTACACAGATGAGATAGGTTCATGTGTATGCACAAAATGCAGATTTACTCTTACAACTCGTACAAGCATGTGATTTTCAGGCAGAATCTAGGAACCAAGTTCTGAAAATTTGCTTCTGAATGTCCACTGTATTTTTTTCAGCCAATAAAGACCATTATCCTAACAAAGAAAGAAATCAAATTACCTCAGAAGAGTTTGGATTTGCAGTGAATCCACATCATATTTAGTCCTTCCAACAAGTATTGTAGGTATTAGGTATCGAAGTTAAAAATAATATTCTTATTGTATCTCCTACGTCCTCTCCAAAAAGGTACCCAATACCTAATTTTTCACTTTTCTGACCTCACCATACTATGTTTCTAAAACAAATATATTCACAGCTACTTCCCAGCAGCAGTCATCAGACTACTAGCATGGAAATGTGGATTCTCAGTGGTTAATGCACAAATAAAGCTGTTTACAGGCTTGCCAGACAAACAGCAACACTGATCCCTACAGCGTGCTTGTCCAAACGTGATAAACAGATGCACTTCCCTATCTCACTGCTTGTTTGCTGCATTCTTTAAATGGTTTTTCCTATTTTTTCCACTTAGGTCAAGTCAAGAAAAAGTAAGAAAAAGGAAAGGAAACCCTCTAAAAATTAAAGCAGAGGAAATGACCATGGAAAATCACAGTTATTGTGTATAGCAAAAGACCCAAAGCAAGTATAATTGCCTCTGCTCTGCAGGCCAAGGAGTTCCTTGGGCAGAGGCATGCAGAGAGGAAAAGATTTGCTGTGCACAGACCCGGGATCAGGCACACACTCAATTCTCCAGCTCCTGACTGTCATAGCAAGGAGGTTTTGTACATTGAAGAACAGCATTTATTTATAATGAATAGAATTTTGCCTATCAAAAATAAATAACTTCAGTGCCTTTGAAAATTTTAACTGCAAACATCTCCATGCTTCCCAGAGGGACTCATGCCCCTAAGTGGCTAAATTATTTTTGTCATAGGATTTAAATTGATGGGACAAGAGGCATTC